AGCACATATTAATACTCCTTTTCTGCAAATCAGCTGTAGATTTCATTTTCTAGTGTTGAAAAACAATATTTTCAGCTGGCTCTCTTACCACACAGTCTACAATTCTTAAAAGTCTTGGTAGATCTCAAATACTAGCGCTATACTATAGTAAGAATACTGTAGGCATCTCTTACGCAGCTCTAAATATTGCAATACTGGGATAGAAGTATTGGACAGAAATTGACCTTATTCCAAATAATCAAAGGAATTTAAGATAATTTGTCTGGTAAGAGACAGAAGGGAGACAGAACACAAATGCTTATTGGTTGGTCTTAATCAATCTGATTTAGTCCACTACTGCATATGAAGTAATGAGATATTCCCTAGAATTAAAGGCAAGTGAAACGTATTTTGTCTCTTTTTAAAAGCAAAAGGGAAAGGTTCATTTATTTAATCTCCAGTCTATAAAAGTTACTTCTTCCAGGGAGGTGAATATGCATCTTTCTTTCTCTTTTCTTCTCTTATCAGAAGTTAGAGCTGCAAATAAGATCTGAGTCTTCCTGTCTTCTACCCCCATCTAGCATCGTTACTTGTTGTAGCCTAGCTCACATTCACTACTAGATCCAGACTAGGATAAAAGAGATTTGGGTGATGGAATGAGGGCAAATAAAGCATAAGATGACAAGGCTTCACCTTCTTAAATGATAAAATGAACATGCTTGTTATATTCATGGCATTAAAGTATGGTTGTCTTAACTCACAACATACAAACCCAAAACCAAGCAATCTATCTGTAGGTTAGCATGATATAATTAACTAAATATTAATTCTGGGTTAAGAAAATACAGTTGAAGTACTTTTATAACATGCTGGGGCCAAAATAAATATATTACATCTTAACATGATAGTGGGATTTTCACAAAATATTCAACTCTGTTTTGTTCTTGTTTAGCATGTTGAGGACCCAGTTCGTGGGGGCAATAAGCTGACTTTGTATAAATATACAAAAGTATGAAGGCTATTGCTTAACGCATTGTAAGTTGCCCTGAGTCTCCGGAGAAGGGCAGCATATAAATCAAATTAAAAATAAAATAAAAAAGTTGTGCAAAATAACTATATTTCCAAGGCCTAAAAGAGGGACTATGGTGTAGTAGTTGAGGTGTTGAGTTCAATGCAGTAACACCTGGGGTCTAAGCCATCGTCAGCCTCATGGAAGTTCACGGAATGACTTTGGACTAGTCCATCTCTCTCAGTCTAGTCTACCTCACAGAGTTGGTATTGTGTGGAAAATAGAAGGACATAATGCTAGGCATGCTGTTTTGAGCTCCTGAATAAAAGGAAGGCTATAAATGTGATGAATGAATTCAGAACTTAGAATGAACTTAGAAATTCAGTTCTCCTTTGAAAGAAATTTGAAAGGAAATAGAATGTCTAAGTTCATTCTAAGTTCTGAATTTCTTTCAAAGGAAACTCTCTTTCATCAGATTGAATGAGAACTAATACAAAATCACATGGGCTAAATTCTCTTCCTAGCACTAGTATGAAGCCAGTCAAAACCTCCATTCAGTATGCAGTTGTGTGATGAGACAATGATAGATCTCCCCCATCCCCACCGAAGGAGAAATTGCATTTGAATGAAAACAATTTTTATTGATAATTTATTGACATAAATTTCTTACTGACATAAGAAAGGATCTTGAGAATGACACACACAAATCTGCAGATGACAACAAGCTGGGGAGAATCACCAACTCTTTGGACAATACCATATTTTTCCATGTACTTTTTCTTAAAAATATTTACTTGAAAATTGAAGTGCGTCTTATACACAAGAGGCTGAGGAGAAGGCTGCACATGCCGGATGAGCCTCTATCTTATATGCAGCTCTATCATTCCTTCCTATTGTAGTTGTTTCCTGAATCACATTGCCACTCTAGGTTTCATCTCTATTGTTCCTGTGATGCATTTCCAGTTCTTGTTGTATTACTCACTCTAACAAGATGGCTTCTGAACAGTGATGGCTTAGTGTGCTTACTACAAGAAACTACATGAAACATGGGGGGGAGTCTTATACATGGAGGTGTCTTATACACAGAAAAATTCAGTAGATTCAGGATTCAGAAGGATCTTGGCAGACTTGAGCATTGGGCCCTAACCAACAAGATGCAGTTCAATGGTGAGGAAAGCAAGATCCTACACCTAGGCCACGAAAACCCAATGCACAGGTATAGAATAGGTGGTAACTGGCTCAACAGTCATAACTGTAAAAGAGATCTAGGAGTTCTAGTGGACTATCACTTGAGTATGAGCTAGCAGTGTGCTGCAGTTGCCCAAAAAGCCAATGTAGTCTTAGGCTGCATCAACAGAGGGATATCATCAAGATCATGAGACATGATAGTATGACTGTATACTACACTAGTGAGGCCATGCTTGGAATACTACATCCAGTTCTCATTGCCATATTTAAAAAAGATGCTGAGACCCTAGAAAGAGTGCAGGGAAGAACAATAAAGATGATAAGGGATCTGGAGGCTAAACTGTATTATGAACATTTATAGGAACTAGGTATATCTAGCCTAATGAAGAGAAGAATTAGGGGTGACACGATAGCTGTCTTCCAGTACTTGAGAGGCTGTCAGAGAAAAGGGGATAGATTTTTTTTCTCCAAAGCACCTGAGGGCAGGACCAGAAATAACGGATGAAAGAGCATTAAAGAGATATCCAATCTGGAACTAAGGAGAAATTTGTCTGGGAGGCAATAAGGTCTCCTGCCTTGAGCAGGGGTTTAGACTAGTAGATTTCCAAGGACCTTTCCAGCCCTGTGATTCCATGATTCTTTGCTTTTAATGAAATGTCATTAGAAAATCAGTTAAACGAAAAGCAAAACTTTAAAAGTACTTTTTTAACCATGAATTTTTTTCCTGCAGATAGCAAGTCTGTAGAAACAATACTATGGTTCCTTGCATCCTTCCTGAGAAAGAGGAAAAGCGAGGCTTTTAAAAATGTTTCTTAACATGTAATTTTTTTATAACATTAACATATTTTAGGATATTAATAAAAGCTTTTTCTTACCCTTGTCGTGTTTCCATCTATTTTTCTCTTTCTGCTTTTTGAAATCTGAGTTATTGTACTTCTGAACCTTTTTTTTCTTTCCTCAGCATACACAAAAAACAAAGTGCTCTTTCGTATGGACCACTCCCATCCCCCCAAATGTGTTTTCTTCCTAGCATGTGTATTTTTCAATGGAGGGTTGCTACCGGTTCACCCCAGATCGGGAGAACCGGCAGTGGCGGTGGGAGGCGCCACCCACCCACCCAGACTTCTGTGCGCATGCGCAGAAGCGTTGCGTGCGTGCTAATGCAAGCACACATCCACAAACAAACCAGTAGCGACGGGATTTGAAACCCACTACTGGTATGTTTGTATGCATTTATACTGTATATGTATGTATGTATGCTTTTTAAAAACAGATGCAAAGTTATGTGGGAATTGGGGAACTGATCAGATTTTGGACTTAGTCCTAAAACTAAATTAAGGTTACTTTCAGTGTCCTATCCTAAATGTATATAATTTTTTTTCTTTCCTTGCTATTGTAATAGCAAGAACTGTCTTAGAACTATTAAACATCTATGCACATATTCTAACAATGTTACTTTCTGTTATTATCATCTAAACCTCAATTATACGAAATGGTCAGCATAACATCAACAATTCATAATCCTGATGAATTATCTATTTCATACAATTTAGTTTTCACAAATGTGTTTCTGACTATTAAATTTAAATACTGTACTCATTTATCTGAATATACAGTCAGGTTTTTGAGGAGTTATTTATAAAACCGCATTTCGTAATCTTTTTAAATTTCTGTGCTTGGTTTTCCACAATACATCTTTGCAAATTAAAAGAGAATTGGTCGTAGAATGATAACATTTTGACACAACAGCAAAACTGTCCACATTATCTTCTGATCTCTCCTTTGGACAGTATTTGTTTGTGTGTGTGTGTGAGAGAGAGAGGGGGGGGGTTGAATTGATGCACAGAAAACAGAAAGGACTGGAATACTGAAACTTCATAAATAAATTGGATTCAGTGGTGTCATTGCACTGATGTGACATATATATCGCTACTCAGTTCTATCTATTCATTTTTGCATGTAAAAATTTATTATACAAGATGTATGGAGCTTTGGTGCTTTCATATTTCCCCCTGATGTTTCTAAATATACCTCTGAAGTAACGAGAAAATGATGGGTGTTTTAATCTTCTTTTCCCCTTCTGTCTGGTACTTATAAAGTGACTGTATTTATTTCACATGCATGTGTTTTGGTCACCAGCTGATCACCATTGCAAATGGAAGCAAATGTTTCTACAAGGTCATCTTATTTTTTACAGATGAATGATGCTATGGGATTTGAATTGCCATGGGTGTATTTTGTCAGTCTCGTCATCTTTGGGTCATTTTTCGTTCTAAATCTTGTTCTCGGTGTATTGAGCGGGTAAGCACACACCTTTTTATCCTAGAAGCAGAGTCCATATTTCAGTTGCCATGAACACATAGGTAGACTATGGAAATTGAATCAAAAGAATTGGGAATAAGATTTCCAAATTAAAACATGGTGGACCAGAGCTTCCTGAAGACCAAATCCATTTTCTAAAAACAAAGAAAATCGCAATAAATCAATTTAAATGTAAGTATAGCATTAGGTATGAAAAATACAGTTTAATAGAAATTAATTGGTGATTTAGAGGTCAGTACAAATAAAACAAGCTCCCAACCCTTTTAGAATTGTATATTTCCACAGGTATAAGGAAAAAGTTATATAATTTTCATAACTAAATCAGTGAAATTGTACACATCATGAGTAAGTGCTGGTAAATCTGGTAAATGATGAAGTAGTGTGTTGCTAAAAAGAGCAGATGGTGCTAATACACTGAATACCTATGTGATCTGTCAATTGTGAAAGGACTCTGCTGTATAGTGAATGGCTGAATCATAATGTATTTCCTTACATTTTACAGGTAAATGATGCAATAGGATGTGAGTGGCCATGGATCTATTTTGTTAGTCTTATCATTCTGGGCTCATTTTTCGTACTTAACCTGGTACTTGGTGTACTTAGTGGGTAAGCCGTTAACTTAAATTTGCATTTCACACCACAGTGTGTAAAATGGTCTGTGCGTTTGTTTAAAATTTCACACTGCTGGCTTTTCTGCATGTGCCTTGGATTGGTATGCCATTTTATGAATGTTTGCTTTTCCAGTTGCCTGAATTTTATCATTGTACTTGCCTGTGACACATTTACAATGCTTGTCAGCTCCTTCAATTCAGTGAAGAACTAACATTGCCATTATTACACTACTGCACTCCTTGTAGATATGAGTACTCTAAACCACCTGTGTAAGTAGTATTTTTAAATATGGATAATGCTATTGTTTCCTGTTACCTACACCAATGCAACATTCACATTAGCACACAGGCTTTTCATGTAAATCAGGGGTGTCAAACTGGTGGCCTGTAGGCCGGATGCGTCATGCACAGGCCATTCCCACCCCAAGTCTGTGAAGGTGAAAAACGTCACAAAACATCATGTAATGGCAACGTGACGCTGCGAGTTTGACACCCGTGATGTAAGTCATCTATAAGACATAGTTTAGTAGGCACTTCATTTTTATTTCTCTTTTTGTTTGGTTTTTCTAAGTGTTTGCTGCTCCCACAAAATTGAGAGGAACATTCTGTCTAAAGATATGAAATTTAATCTAGGGAATAGTATAAACAGCTTGCTTTGCTGTCAGTTGTAAAAAAACACAACAATTTATCAGTGCAAGCCATTTCACCATTGCCAAAGGGAAAGGTTGTCATCTCACCGTCATGTGTTCCAGAAGGCTTCTTTCCTGTACTGAAAAAAGAACCTGGAATACTGGCAGATTGCCTGTCAGGTGCGAAATGGAACATTCTAGAAAACCCCTGAACATTTCATTCTCCTTCCAGTCCATGTTGAATCTCCTCTAGAACATGTTTTCTAGAAGCCATATAACAATTTCCAGAAATAATTCCTCCAAAATGGAATCAGTTTAAGTTAACTGGGAATTTTCCCCCCTGTATGTTAAACCAAAAATATTCTATTTTAGAGATAGAACCTGCCCAAGAGACATCAAATGCCCTCTAAGTTGGAGATATGCCCTTTGGAAGAGACCATATCATTCCAGAGGGGAACAGACCATTTTGAAGTTCTTTAAAACATTCTGTTTCTGAATCAGTGAGCTTTTCACATCCTCTGGGTCTGTGGTTTAGTGCAGGTGCTTCCATATCAGTTTTGGCTTCTGGCAATTGCCTGTGCAAGTCTTGCATTTTTCTGGGCAGTCATTTCAGAAATGGTCTGCCTTTGCATTCTCTTTCCTAGGGCTGAGAGAGAGTAACTGGCTCAAGGTAGTGCTTGTGTATTAACATATGGAAAATTGCTTGTAGTATAAAATCATAAAAAACATAAACCAAAAATAGTGATTGCACCATGTACCATAAAGCACATACTCTTTTTTCTCTGCCTTATCCTGCAACTACTGCTGAAGTCACAACTGGGAAACAGACATTCACTGTTAAACAGAATGTGACCCATTATTTTGATTACCATTTGTGAGCAATTAGAGCAGGTACCTGGCTGATTTTGCCTGATTTTTGAAGCTAAGCAGGGTTGGGCTTAAATAATACTTGGATGGAAGACTATCAGGAAATAATCAGGCTATAGACTAGGACAGAGGTCTGCAACCTTAAACACTCAAAGAGCCATTTGGACTGGTTTCCCACAGAAAAGAAAACACCGGGAGCCACAAAACCCTTCCCATGCCTGACTATTTCTTGAGGGGCCACAAAACTAGCATATGTAGTTGAATTAAACATTCTGTTTTCTTCTGAAACTTTTCTTTTCTTGGGTTTATCCAGGGTTGGCCTACCGGGGGTTGGAAAGCTCAATAAATCGCGTGCTGGCAGGTGTCGCACGTTGGTGGTTGTGACACATATTTTGAGTGACAGGGAGCTGCAGCAGAGGGGTGAAAGAGCCACTTGCGGCTCCAGAGCCACAGGTTGCTGATCCTTGGAGTAGGAAATGGAAAATCATCCTTTAAGAATACAGTAACAAATATTGAGGAGGGGTGACATCTGGAGAACTACTTACTACTTGAACTAAATACAGAGAGGAATATAATTTTATATTCCTCTAATTATATAGACATAATTAATTTATTGATTGTTTTATAAAATAGCCACCCCACTGTGAGTCAGAACAATATTCATGTAACCTAAAAGGTTAAAACTCAATGATATTGGCCAAAAGGCCATTGTTTTAAGGCCAGATGTCCTAAAACACGGTTGTCAAACTTGCTGCATCACATTGCCATCACGTGACATTTTGTGATGTTTTTCCCATTCACAGAGCTGGGATGGGCATGGCCTATGGGTGATGCATCCGGCCTGCAGGCTGCCAGTTTGACAGTTAGTTGAAGATTAGTCTTTTATCACATACTTCATTCCTAATCTCAGAGAATATGGTTAAAGAAGCAGTTCTGTTTCTTTCAGCATATTAGTTAACTTTGATTTACAATTTCTGGCATCATTTTCATAAAATAGTTTCAATGCACTGATTTTAATTTATTATTGTATTTAAACAATTTATTTCCTTTACACCTTTTCCTAATGAGAATAAGGTAAAGTTGAATAACATAAGAATTTCATTAAAATATACTATCCAGTCAATTATATATAACCAATTTACACAGCCAACCTGAATGTAACTCAGTTTGACTCTCAGTGAATGAGTAAGAGAGAGAGCATTATGTGATGAATCAGAGAAGTTTTCTTTAATATTTCAGACTCAAACACCTTGAATTAGAGAATTTAACAGTAAGCTCAGAGGGAAGAATTTGCTCTTTTTCAGAGAGACAAGCCCCAAGTCCTTTAGGGCTTCATGTATTATAAGCATCAGAAAAAGAAAAAATGTTCATAAGCAGAATTGTAGCCAACAGATCAATTTTAATACAAAATATATTTTGTCAAATTGTCCTGAGTGTTGTGGAAGGAAAGAACCACATTTCATTTATTATTATAATTTTCCAACAGTAGCAAGTTTTTCTGTAGGATAGATGGAAATTTCATTAACCTATGTAGGCACTTAGGTGACCATACACTGAAATAGACACTGGGGCACAATGCTAATCTCCTCTAGTCTGCATTGGTCACATTCTCTATGTTCCCAGCGGTTCCTGTTGCGCAAAATAATCTGAAGGGTTATATTTATAAATAGAAGGCATGGCACAAGCTGACTAAGGGAGATGGAGGAAAACTACCCCTTTTCTGATATAAATATCATCTATTTATTAATCAAACAAACATATAATGCCTACCCTTTGATCCAGTGAAACTTTGTGCAGCAAACAAAGCAAAATATATCAATCTTAAACACTAAAGGAACACCCATTACCCCGCTTCCATGCAATAGAAATCTCAATAGGCACCATAGCATACATCCATGCCAGTGTCAGGGTTCCAAGGAATAGATCCATTTCAAGCAAAACGCCAAAACAGGTGGATTCCTCAAAGAATAGCTTTATTGGAAATATCAAATTGGCACATGTCTGGTGAAAACCAACCCTGAAGGGCCCCTTGGTTTTCACCTAATTAAAAGTAAAAGTTTTTCCCCCAATCCCAAACAATCAGTCACATGGCCCAATCACAGCAGCATCTGCTGGTCTGGTGACATCATTCCTCCCTCCTCCGGCCAGGTGTGAGAACGTCCTTGGTTCCCAGGCGAAGGAATGTTATTTTGACTACACAACCCTGGCTATCTCTAATCCCCCCTCCCTATCCCTTGCTCCAGTGTGGCAGCACTGAAGCTCCAAGATGGCTTCAGCCAGGTCAGCTTCAGGGTTGATAGTCAGATTTTCAGAACTAATAGCCTAGTCCCCACTACCTGGGGAACAGCCACCACCTCACAGTATTCTGAAAAGTCTAGGGTCAAGGCCATCCATATCTCTGGAGGGAGGCTATTCAGTAAGGCAGGTGCTGTGACAGAAGAAATGTTTCTAGGACCTACCAGATGACGGTGTCTCACTGAGGGAATCTAGAGTGTGCCCCCTCTGCCAGATCTGATGGGGCAGTCAGAAACTATTGCAGTGAGGCTGTCCTGCAAGTAAACACAAGCAGATCTTGAATTATACCCAGACCCATAGGGAGCCAATATGGTTCACTTAGCAGCGACATTAAATGGGCTCTGCATTCCAGATGAACAGAAGCTTTTTGAGGCTTCGGAATGCTCTTCAAGGACAGCTGCATGTAGAATTAATTTTATACTTTGTGTATTAATTATACACAAATACAGTATGAAATCATAAAGTAGGACATTAGCATGCTAGGAAGAAAGAGCAGGTAGTTTATATTATAAACTTTCTAACTTTTAAGCCCACAATAAATAGGCAAAGCAAGCATGCCTAATTATGATACAAACCCTGCAGCTTCTGATGGCAGTTACAACCGATCAGCATTTAGCAACTTTTATAGACATTTCAGCAGATGGATCTGTTAGTAAAAAGTGTACAACCTCTACTTAAAGACAATTTGTATATTTAGCAAAGATGGAGAATATTAATACAAAGCACTAAGTAAAACATGCCAGGCTCTCTTTGTGGCTTTTTCTAAGCATAGGCTCCAAATATGGGATGTTTCTGAACTTGGTGTCCAACCGTTTTCAGCATAAAACTTTACTAATGTAAAATTGCCTTCTAGAAGTTATGTTAGGAAATAGGAACAGCGAAAAGTTTATGACAGATACTTCTGTTAAAATAATTTAAAACTTTGGATTGGCCACTCTACAGGTCTAAGTGAAGGGCTCGCTGTCTGACCTCTATCATAACTTTATTTCGCCCATGCATTAACAGAGATAACTTGGATGTCATTGATTTTTTTTAATTATGGTGCCAGTTGATAGATCTCTTAGTGAATAAGACTATCTTAATTAATTTCTAGTTATCTCATAAGATTAAGTTAGATGTAGGCAACTGATGCTTACCTATTTTGAATGTTAACTCATACTAAATCTGGCCATTAGTTATGCTGGCTAGTCATGTGAGTGTTACAACCCAAAACATTTGAAGACATCAGGTTGCCCAACTTTGATTTAAGGAGCTAGAACAGGGCTTTCAAACTCCCTGCCTGCAGGCCAGATGCGTCACATGCTGGCCATGCCCACACCTGGTTTAGTAAAGGGAGGGAAAGTCCTGAAAAGTCACGTGATGCTGCAACAGCACATGTTTGACACCCCTGAACTAGGAAGACTTTACTTCAATCACTGTTGTCCATCAGGTATCACTCCTCAATCGTATTTCAGATTAAAATTTTCCTGCATCTGTTCTCATTTATATGGATTTTATTTGCCTCAAACTATATATTCTTTGATTTGCTATTTCAGTTTAAGAACATAATCTTGATGCAAACTTATCTAATATATTTGTATTGTTGAAAATATTATATGTGCAAATGCTTCAGTTTAAGTCAGAGTTATCAGTACATGCTCCAGACAAAGTCTTTTGAATAACAATCACCACATGACAGAGTATAAGGACATTTTCCCTTATTTAACATTCCAAATAACGGGGGGAATATTTTGGAATTCTATCTCTCTTACTTTCAAAGTGCCCTTACCAGGCATAGTTTACAGAAAGAAGTGAATCATTTCCTCAAAACCATCCAGAGTGTTAGCAATTAAGATAAGTTGTGAACGTAGACATGCCAGTTTACAATTTAACACTCAGCCAGCCATAACACGAATGTAGCCAGTAAAGGAAAGCAAAACATTTTTATACAATTGTAAGCGTGAGAAGGGGTCCTTGCTGACCACTAAGTCCATTAAAAAAGGAACCTTGCAGTATACATATTAAACCGGGTAGTTAATTAATGGGTGCAATTGGTTGAAATTGAATTGATTGATGAAAAATATTTTAACCACTGTAATTTATTATCTCTTCAGAATACGATTCACACTGTTTGCAATTGCAAAATTTTAAAGATCTAATTAACTGAATCTATATTTAAAGCTGTTTTAGGCCTCTAAATCTAATGGGGTGGTTTCTATATTTGAATACACAAGCACCTAATTATAATTATTGTATGAACTTTGGTATCATGCATTGATTGCCACTAGTTCAGACAGCTTTTTAAAAACCAGAGTCCGCATATTGTGCGAAATTATAGTTTTCTTAATCATGGTTTATTGAACAAGCTGTGAAAACATTTAATCTCCTCACTAACTTACTCACTTTAAGTGCATCTATTTCATCCATCTGTTGGTGGGGAAAAGAGAATTCAAGTGGGGAGCTGTTGAGCAGAGTATCACTTGTATTTTTTGACAGTAATTTGACAAGTAACCTTGTTTGAATGAAGCTCAGAACTCTGGAGAAACAATATTTTCTTCTCTTGTACAAAGAGGCTTAAAATATTTACATTCAAGAGCAGTATAAAGCAAATGTGATTGAAATTCTCCTTTAACACTAAATTGAAGCACTGCTTCTCTTTTCTTCTTCTTCCTCCATTATAGTGTAGTATTGTTTCGTTACAGAAAATTTGGGCTTTTCCCTGTTTTCAGGAACTCCTTGGCTATGCAAATCTGTTTAGACAAAAAGCATCAAAGCGGTCTGGCTGTGAATCGCACAAGGCCACAGACCAAGAGAGCAATTCTTTTATAGCTAGTGCAAAGCTGCTTCAGCAAAGCACATAATAAATAAATTAATTAATTAATTAATTAACGAGAGATCTTTTGCTCCTGAATACCTACTAAGGGGCCTGGTGGCTCAGCAGATTGATAGCATTGTGATTAACACCAGCTGTCTGCAATTACTGTAAGTTTGAATCTCCCCAGGCTCAAGGTTGACTCAGCCTTCCATCCTTTCTAAGGTAGGTAAATTGAGGACCCAGTTTGTGGGGGCAATAAGCTGACTTTGTATAAATATACAAAAGTATGAAGGCTATTGCTTAACTCATTGTAAGCCGCCCTGAGTCTCCGGAGAAGGGCGGCATATAAATCAAATTAAAAATAATAATAATAATAAAAAAATATTCCACAACAAAACCATAATTAGTGTGATTCATAAAACATCCTAAACTATGTTATACAGTTTATAAAGCAGGCCCAATTGACAAAAGAAAGCTCAGGACCATATTGGTTGGAAACAAGTGGAAGAGGCCTTCATCCTGCAGTGGATAGACAACAGCTACCATGATTGATGATGCTAGTTTATAAAACACAATGGTTAGGTCCATACAACCTAAAAAACTAAAGTTAAGCAAACCACAAAGCTGTATCATTGGAGGTTATTTGTTTTGTTTGCAAAAATATGAAGTACCTAGGGCTCTCAATCAAAAATTCATTCTCAACATTAAACAGGACATTTCTTTCTGGAAACAAGCCACAGGAAACTAATGTTTTTCATCACACTTGATTTGATTTTCAGAATTGTTTTATTTATTGCCTTCCTGTTGAATTTTTGGTTCAGTCAAGACCACAACCTTGATTCTGGGCGCATCTGCTCAAAATGTAACTTATCATCCAGTGGATTTGTTACCTTCATATTATAAAATCAGCCCCCTTGTAGAGTGGGAATGAATTATATAGAAATAGCGGTTGTTTTTGTTAAACAGATTCATTTTTAAAATGGCACATTTAAAATGTCAACCGTTCAGCGGTTATTATATTGTTAACATAAAATATTTGAAGCAGTAAGAGAATCATTTCTTATTTACAAGTGGAAGACCTTTTTTTTAATGAGGCGGGATAATCTGCTCCTCGGGAACTATGCTAACCACCAGAGGATGCTTTCTGTGAAGGCAGATTCTACTGGAAGCACCGCTATTTCTCTGGGTAGTCATGGGAACACACTTTTCAAACATACATTTATATCTATAACCTGAATTTATTGTCCTGCTTGAGGACAGCAAGAGACTAATGTTCTGGCATGTCCCTGAATGACCCTTCTATATGGGAAAGTAATGGGTTTGTAAAGATATATATTCCTGGCAATTCCTACAGCCATGTTGGATTCCTCTATTAAGAAATTGCTCAGTTAATTATGTGGATACATCCCTAAAAACAGCTGCAGCATAGCACACACAGGATTAAGAGAAAAAGGCATTTAAATAATGATGCACTAAATAGAAAATGGCAATGAACTGTCAGTTTCAGTTTCCGGGCAAAAGCAAACGAAGTCACTTTGACAGCATTCCTTTTCTCAACAGAGCTAAGGATAAATAGGAAGAGAACATAAGAGCTTTCCATTCTCCAACACAAAGAGTCTAACAAAAATAAAAATAAAACCAACTTTTTATGTATTCATTCATCATTTGTATGTCTCTTTATAGCTACCCGTTAAATGCAGTTGACTCTCTTTAGCTAACAAGCATTAGAAACACAGAAAAGCCCACAACTAGGCGCTCAAAAATAAATAGCACCATTCACACATATACAATACAATAAAATAAATAAATAAATAAATAAACAACAGAGATGATCTAACTATCTGATCCAAATCCCTGGGAAAACAGCCAAGTCTTCAATATCTTGTGAAAAGACTAACAGGGTTGGAACCATCTGTATCTCAAAGAGGGTGAGGGCAGGGCAGGGCAGGGGCTGCTATTGAGAAGATATGATTCTGAATCCAACAATGTTGATCTTTGGTGTTGCACAATCAATAAAGGTATTAGTGACCAAATATTATCATCACAGTGTGCTATTTGAGGACATTTTTATATATTCATTATATTGTTAATCTGATGTTCTCTGGACAATGAATAAAAACACCTGCCAAATTCAGACAGGTATAGCAGTTTTGTACCTGGAAGGTATTTACTTAGATTTGGAACTAGAAACCTTTGAAATCTGAATCATCAAACAGTTGTGCTATACTCTACGTCAGGCTGGCCCTGGAGAGTATCTGGGAAGCTTCATCTGGTGTAAAATGCAAGCGCACAGGCAGTTATGTATACACATTATACATAACTCTGCTTCATGAGCTGCATGGGTTACCAGTTTGCTTCTGGTGCTGGTTTTGACCTTTAGAGCCCTATATGGCATGCGGCCAGGTATCAGAGGAACTGTTTTTTCCCAATTACATTGACTTGTCTCACTAGGACTGGCAGGAGAGGCATGCTGTGGGTCCCGTCTGCAGTGAGCTTCATCTCACGGGACCCAAAGGCAAGTCTTTTCTGCTGTAGCACCCACTACCTGGAACACACTCCCTGTTAAGTTGAGGGTAGCGTCAATCCTCATTACTTTCCAGAAAGCTCTTAAAACAAGCCTGGGGATCCTCTGGTATTAGGGAACCTGCATGTTGGCTGCACTATATGTAATATTCTCCTGCTTGTGGTTTTGTTTTTACCTATGTTTATTGTGTTGTTTTTAATTTGTTTTGCACTATATTTTAATAGTATGTTATAGTGTATGCTGTCCAGGGATACTTCATGTGAGATGGGAGGCTATATAAATTAGACAAAACAAATAAATAAAATAGCTGACAGGTCACTTGAGACCCTAATTATATTTAAGAAGATGAAAGAAAGCATTACGTCCAGTCTACTTCAGAGGAGATCCAGAATGATGCCAGAGCAAGTCTGGCAGATGAAGGTTTGGAATGCATATTGTTATGAGTCCTTAAAAGTATAAGGCATAAGGAATGTAGCATGGCAAGTGATGTGAATTGCTATGTGATATGTGGAAAGTGTTTGTATTTTTGTAAATCTTCTTTATTTATATAATCTTGTCAAGAAAAAATAAAGAAAAAATATGGGGGTTTGAATTTTGTTGTTGTTGAAAGCTTCGTAAATCAGTATATCTCATGTTTTATCTGCATCCATAGAGAGTTTTCCAAGGAAAGAGAAAAAGCCAAGGCCAGGGGAGATTTTCAAAAGCTACGTGAAAAACAACAGCTAGAAGAAGACCTCAAAGGTTATTTGGATTGGATTACCCAAGCAGAAGACATTGACCCAGAGAATGAAGAGGAAGGTGATGGAGAAGGCAAACGAAATAGTATGTCAAAGCTCCTCAGTTAAAGATCACTGATAAAAGAAGATTCTGTGTTGTAAAAATGATTTACAATAACCTTCTCTAATTGAATTCCTCCAAATATGTTGGGACAGCAATTCCAGAATATTTCATCATCATGGCTTTGGGGAATACCAAAGGTGCTTTTTCAAGAGGCAACTGGACTTCCTTGTTTTTCTTTGAAGCCCTTTCACTCTCATCCAATAATCTTTTTCAGTTTTCTTCAGAGCTGAACAGAAAGTCCAAGTGCCTCTTGAAAAAGCACCTTTAGTATTCAGTGCAGGAATTCCTTTTCTCCAAAGCATCCCAATTTCTGGAAAACCTTGTGTTTTCAACATTGCTGGCTTATCTCGGGGGAGTATCCTAGATCCTGATCCCCATTTTTGCTATAATTCCATGCTATAATTCCCCATCCCACATCTCTCTTTGCCCTGAGAAGTCCAATGCAGAACTTTCCTTTGATGCATGTCCCCTTCTTCAGCTTTCTTCAGAGCTGAACAGAAAGTCCAATTTGCCTCTTGAAAAAGCACCTTTAGGACAGTGGTGAAATGTAAAATTTGTTACTACCAGTTCTGTGGGCCTGGCTTGGTGGGGGTGGGGGTAATGTGATGGTGGGCGTGGCCAACTTTTTTTTTTTTTACTTTTAAAAGCATTTTTTTCTACAACCTCTTTGGCCAAAGAGGTTGTAAAAAATACTTTTAAAAGGCTCTGACGATCCCAGCTGAGTTGCCTGATTGTCGGAGGCTTTTTTTCTTTTAAAAGCTTTTTTTTTTTTGCTTTTAAAAGGCTCTGACGATCCCAGCTGAGCCGCGCGATCATCAGAGGCTTTTTTTTTATACTTTTAAAAGCATTTTTCTGCCGAAGAGGTTGTAGAAAAAATGCTTTTAAAAGTAAAAAAAAAAGCCTTTGATGATCATGTGGCTCAGCTGGGCATGGGAGGGATAGGGATTTTTGCTACCGGTTCTTTGAACCACCCACTGCCATTGCTACTGAATTGGGTGATCCGGTCCGAACCGGCAGCATTTCACCCCTGCTTTAGGACAACCATGACTTGGATGACTGAGAATCTCCATCGACACTTTGGGGAGTACATATTGAGTAAACTTGTTGAGAATTTTAGAAGTTTGGAGAATATCAGGTTGGAGAAGGCAGAAGGTGATTACATACAATCAATTTTCTCAGATTCATATGTTTTTCCCAAATGAGGTCAGCATGCTGCCGGTCCAGCATTTTTCAAATTTTGCTGATTTCTCAAACCCCATCCACCAGTATGTTGCCAAATTCTTTCCTAGGAGTAACATATTAGTACTCCTATAGTTTTTGCATTCTCTCTTGCAATATTTCCCTTTATATAACAAAACAATGACAGTATTCTCCTAATTATCAGGTACAAATACCCTCTTTATACATATGTTAACTAAGTAGCATAGCCATTCCATTAGCAAATCCCATTTGTACACTTCTCCAGTTCTATCCAGAACAATGCAGACCATTTTTCAGAATTCTCACATTTATTACTTTCTTTTCACCAGTTTTTTCTCAGATATTAACCTTATTATACAAAACTCTGAAGTCTCCCACATTCCCTCACTTTGGTTTTATTTTAAATCATTTTATTACACTTATATTAATTTCATTCTCTGTGGTGAAAACTTCCTGTCTACCCCTTTTCATGCACTTCCACAGCCATTATTTATTTCTACCAAAATTAGTGTGCATTTTCTCTTTCTTTCAGTCATCAATGTATTGATTCTTGCTTTTGTATGCAACAGAAGAGCCTAGATGATGCCAGTTCCACCCTATTAAATCTAAACTTTACTTTCCCTGTACAAATTCATCAACTCATCTCTCCAATTACCTTCTTTCTTTTAGATCTGTTGCAACTTTCCCTTTCTCTTATGCTTAGAGACACAAAGTCTGTCTTTTTCTTTATTCCACTTCTAAACTCATGCCCCTTCTTATTTATTCCTTTTACATTCAACCTACAATTTTTCATATACTATGACTGTCACCAGATGGCCCCCAGATGCTGACTTCCACTATTATCCTAGACTTGGTTTATGAAAGCTTTCACATTTATTTGTAAAATACAAAAGTACAGTCTAGACTAGAATACTGGCCTTAGCTGCATCCATGCTACATGGTTACATTCTATGCTTACAGTAGGACTCTATTGGTTGACTTTGACCAATAGGCCACAAGCACAACCAAAGTCCAGATTTACTCAAGCATGTTAATACTCTTTTGTGCAAACACAAATCTTTAATCTAAATAATATCTTGCAAGCCAAAATAATGTTGTCCATATTCCACTAATTAGGAGAGGCATGCAGTATGTACAGTATTGACATTCATTCAAGAGATAAAGTTTGTAATTTGTATGTATACACACACACACACACACACACACACACACACACACACACACGTACGTATGGTCAGACCGGTTCTATAGAACCGGTCCAGTAGTAAAACCGGTGGGAGGCTCCGCCCACTGACCCCAACGTCATTGCAAATCAGTAGTAAAGGTAAATAGAACCCATCCCTGATATATATACACACACACACATACACACACAACTCATATTGACGTTTAGATGTCAGACAACTGTTAACTTTTTATTTTTTATTTCTAAAAGTCAGGCATGTGAGAGTAAGCCACAAAACAATGGCTAGGAATTGGGAATTACCCTGTTCATGACAATTATGTCTTATTATTTGATTTATAGCATGTTTACAGTATGGAATATATTATGTAACATAAAGTAGAAGCTTAAGTTTTCCTGGCAGAAGGAATATAACCTTTTGTTATCTACACTTTATCTCCTGCCATACATTTTAGACATTCCAAAAGTATAGAAAGAGGATTGGTTTGAGCTTTCACAGGCCTGTGTCTTTTGGGATTCATATAGTGAGTTCCAGGGTCACTTTGCATGACTGAGAACGATTTCTTTATCTTATTTGTAGCAGTAGATCCCATTTAAATTCCTCAATGTTAGGGAAAGATGCACATTTATGTAGATACATGCAGAATTGAAACACGTATACTGTATTATTGCATATGCTTACTTCAATTCAAAATGTCAGGCTGCATTTTTGTTGTTAATTAATTCTTAATTAATTATACCTAATGATAAATTTATCTAATGATAAATTTATCATTACCTAATGATAAATGATTTATATACCTATAAATACTGCGTAGAAATGTATGATGTAATAGTGAGCTCTTTAAACATACATCAATTTCTAAACAGGACAGCATTATATCAAATTAAACATCTTTGACATGCCATCTTATTCTTGCACCACTCCAGAATTCTTCTGTTGGGACTTTCTGTGTCTTCACTGACACTTTTGAGCAATTAGATCCATAGACATATTAAAAAAAAGGCAGAATTGGGCTGCTGGAAAATCCTTTATATTTTCAATCTTCCTTTAGAAATAAAAGATAGCTATAGAACAATTGAAATAGGATAGTAATATTTTGTGGAAGTGGGAAAAATTTGACTTTCTGGAGATAGAATACATAGAACTTGCAAAAGGGAAGAACCATTTCATCTACTTCCTCAGCTAATTTTAGAGACAAACATGTCAAGCTCTCAGAATGTTCACACTAGAAACTTGGTCTGCAGAGATGTTCTTTCCTCCTGATTAAGTATCTACTGTCCTTATGACTTATTGTTAATGACATCTTAAAGCAGTACTTTGTGCTGCGTATCAAATAGCATCCTATAACCAAGAGAGATGTTAATGGGACATGTTGCAGAGTAGCTAGTAGACTAGATGTGATATCTCAGAATATCTTAACATCAATCCAAATTAAAACCTTAATGTTTCATAAGATTATTTATTGGCTTGCTTGATTAGGGGTTTTCCTTTTTCATTTTTGCCTCTGCTAATCCATGTTTCCCAAAACACAATCTAGAGTGCCTATGAAATTGTGCAGATATCTCTTTTAATTCTCACAAACACTGCCACTTAAAATACCATTGTGTGATAACCATTGATAAGTAACAGAAAATTAAGCACTTGCTATCTTCTATGAAAACAGCACACTGTTTGTCAACTGATGAGTACAACTAGTGACACAGGTTGTTCTACATGACAAAATGTTTTTACACATTTGCTGTACCAGTATTGTTATTTTTTGGCATTGCCGAATGCTGTGTCCTGAGATGGGGCAGTTTTAATATACAAATTCCATTGAAGTTAATCTTCTATTATTGATAGTACTCTATTGCAGGATTTGTGTGGTCTTTCTTAATCTTACTGTTTTGCATATTAAAGTTGTACAGTCATCATTATTTTCTTTTTTGTTTTGATTTGGAATATTTGGATGAATTAGAATTGGATATGGGCTGGCTTAGACTGTTCTAGCTCTCTGCTGAGAATCTTTGGAGAAACTGATTTATTTATGTGTAAGCCTCCCTATTGCATCTTATTTGGTAGAAAGTCACACTATGTTTAGTCAGGCTTGTTTCCTGATAAATATGCTTAGAATTACAGGCTCAGTCAGAGATCAAAGTCCACCATTCTTTCTTTAGAAAAACTTCACAGAGACATACAAATAAGGGAGATTTCACAGTATGTGCTAAGGGATTTGTAAGCCTGGTAGGAATGTGTTTTGGCCGACAGTTATCACAAATAGAGCTTTTTGGATTCACTGCCTATCATGAGGTTGAGTGCTAATATACATATGCAATTTATGCTTGCAGGAATTAACACTTTCAGCCAGGTAGGAAAAACAGTTAGCATAAACAGAAAGACAAGCTCAATTTGCGATTCTGTAATTCAACTTTAATCTTTATGTACTCCATGTGATACTCTTATAAAACTATTTGGATGCTCATTATTCAGTAAAAGACATTGAATGAGCTGCATAACTGTTAGAAGAAGTGATTCATCTCTGTTTTCACAGTTATTCCAGTCTGATCTTGGCTAAGAATGATAGATTATAGAATATTTTCCTGACAGCTAGAACAATTTTTCCTGACAGTTAGAACAATTAATTAGTGGAACAACTAGCCTCCAGAAGTTGTGAATGTTCCAACACTGGAAGTTTTAAAGAAGAGATTGGATAACCATTTGTCTGAAATGGTATAAGGCCATGATGGCAAACCTATGGCACGCATGCCACAGGTGGCACGCGGAACCATATTAGTGGGCACACAAGGTTGGCTCTGATAGCTGATTTTCGGGTCTTCTGGGCCAACCGGAAGTTGGCAAATGGGCCATTTCTGGCTTCTGGGAGGGGGGAGGCCATTTTCGCCCTCCCCAGGCTCCTAGAAAGCCTCTGGAGCCTGGGAAGAGTGAAAAACGGGCCTTCTGGTCCCACTGGAACTTGGCAAACAGGCCATTTCCAGCCTCCGGAGGGCCTCTGGGGGGTGGGGAAAGCCATTTTCGCCCTCCCCAGGCTCCAAGCAAGCCACTGGAGCCTGGGAAGGGCAAAAAACAGGCCTGCCAGGGCCACCATGCCATCACATGCCAAAAGCGGGGGGAGCCCAGGGTGGTCATGTACACATGCGCGGGGCGGATTGAATTATGGGTATGGGCACACGCGTGCATAACCCCCCCATGCTCCCACCACTTTTGGCATGCAATGGCAAAAAGGTTAGCCATCACTGGTATAGGGTTTCCTGCCTGAGCAGGGGGTTGGACTAGAAGACCTCCAAGGTCCTTTCCAACTCTGTTATTCTATTTCTAATTTAATTTAAGGAAATCTGTATTAATCCACATCAATATCCACAAGTAAATTATTATTTAAAATATTACACTAATGTAGAATACATTACATTTTTGGATTGCAAAAAGCTGTCTTATGGGATCATTTAGTTTAAAATACTGGGTTCCAAAAGCTTTTCAGATTTCAGCAAAATTATTTCTTGGAAATGCATATGGCTGAATCTAGGACATTTTGCATGGAAAAGACATATTCCACTATTAAGCTATAGCTTAATTTTATCCCATATCAGTTACAGAGAGGTAGCTAACAGCTTATTTAAATGAGAGTTAGGAAGGAATGCACTGAAATTTCACCTTAAATCGCTGGGAAGTCTTTTCAGCAACCATCTATCTGTCCTTGTTATATCCCAGCCATCACATATAATTAGGCTTTGGACACTATACAAGTGGTCAAACTATGAAGAGAGATAGAAGTCCATTAATAATTGGATTAACACCACCATACAAACATAGGTATAGGTTTGCAAGTATTATTGATAATTCAACCAAGTTTAACTTTTGTGTTACTTCTCAGTCTGCTTGCACTGACTGAATGATATGGCTAATTTATTGTCTTCTGCACTTCTGCTGCTGCCATCTACTGTATTATGGATGGGATTGCATGTACTTAATATGAAGGGGTTACGCTGGCTGATTTATTAGAAAACAAGAAGAAAAGCAGATTTAGCTGTTGTCATGGGGCCAACAAACATGGTAAAATGTGTGTGTATGTGTTTTTGCAGTGGAACATTTCATTTGAAATGATGAACTTTGAATGCTACTTTTCAAAATCCATGCACACATTTAGAAAAACACCTATGCATGAACACACATGTTTTGCATGGGCATGATTTGCTGCTTGACTGCATGTTTTTGAGAGATCGTTGTGTAGTAGTTTAGAACATTGAAATTTTGTTTGTTGTTCTTAGGAAATATATACACCCAATCAAGCTAAAAAAAGCAAATGAGCAAGATATGAGAACATTATTTTAATATCAAAGTGATAACACTATGAACCTTTAGAAGAGTTCTCATTGTATAATGAATTATACAATGCGGTATATGCATATATTGTATATGAATTATACAATGCAGTAATATGCACTGTTCAGTGCATATTACTGATTTTAATTAATGTTTTAAATGGTGTCTGAAAAACTCTGGGAGTTAAGTCTACACATCTTAAAGTTGCCAAAGTTGAAAAACACTGGTTTAATAATTCAGTTATTGCAGATACACGCAGCCATATATGTTTACTGCTTGAATGTTTTAAACCAGAAAATGCCATGTTCTAATTAGAACTTGGCATCTTTATAATTATAATAACCATATTCTTCCACATAGTTATTGTCCTTTCCATCTGTATCAGACAAACAATAAGTAGTTGTGCAGCAGTTAGTTCTTTCTCTCTGTGGGATGCTCAACTTACAGGATTCTTTATCAATACTGCCCATCTCTACATTCATCCTGTGTGTGAATGAAAAGTTTAGCACAACTGCTGAAAGCCGACATGATCTAGTAGTTGCAATCCTGAACTTTATCCAGAAAGACCCAGATTCAAGTTCCAATTCATGAAACTCATTGGGTGCCTTTGAACCAGTCCTTATCTTGCTGCCCATTCTAGGTTTCCTTATTTAGGGAACTTGGAGGAGACTGTATTAAGCACACTGTGTTGAACACATAAAGTAAAAGGCAGGATATAACTCTAAATACAAATAAGAATCATTTATTTTAAAGGTAGAAGTATACTGGTCCCTCCAAAGATAAATTTATGCTATATTTTGTCTCTAAAATAATTAACACAAGCTCTCCTTGTTCTATGAGCATAAAAGTTATGTACCCATTCCAGAATAAAGGGAAATCACATAAATCAGAGGATATTTGAATGGTATAATTAATTGCTTGAGAAAGTACCAGTCTGGCAGCTGTAGCAAGCAGAAAAATCTACATATGCCAGGTTCAGATTATTTCCCTTGCAATTAAATCCAAGGCCCTTTTGTGGATGATAATTACTTTCTTACCCCTTTTACCAGCATTCTTCATTAACCCTAACCCTGAATATATTGCAAAGCGTATTATATCATTCCACATAACAGATGGGAAGATAACCTTATTGCAAAAGTAAATTGGAAGGTTACAATTTTGTTATAATTTGGGACAAATGTTTGCTTTAATAGAGGAAAAATAATTAGGAATGGTTACTTGTTTGAAGTGTTCACAAGGTTTTCAAAGGGCTACATCACAGTCAGATTATATCTTCCCCAGTTGACTGTGAGATATAGAGGTTTCCTCCAGTGTTTTTGCACAAGCTCCTTCTCATTACGTACGATTGTGATAATGTTTCAGAAGACAATTGTAACATGAAAAGGATCAGAGGAAGAGAAATGAAGGAAATGGGTATTGGGTAGGTAGAGGTGGTATGGAGCACTGAGTTTTTTCCCTTCAAGTCTCATGAGTCCAAATATAAACCAGAATTATATTCCTGCAGACTTAATCCTAACTTTGTGAGATTTTGGTCCACATATATAATTTTTGAACCATGCTTGGATATATTATGGCCCCTCTGGTTATAAAATATGTCCCAGAAAAACTTTGGTAATCTCTTGACCTTCCTATTCTGTTTGGGATTCAAAAAAGGGGAGGAGTCTTAAACTTGGCAGATCACTGTGTATAGCTGGCTGGCAGCCTTCAATTTTAGTGATTCATAAATTTTGCAGCTTGGACCAAACTGTGAACAATGCGTTTTTAATCTAGCTGTTCTTCAAAATATCCACAAGGGCAATTCTTCCAGAAACAATGACATCTGAGGAGATGGTTTATTTTAAACAAGGACCAAGACAATAAAAGCTGTCAGAATTGTCCCTGGCAAAACTTGCTAAGACATAAAGTAGAAATGCAACTGGCACTTTATGCTGTAATTTAAAAGTTAATTTACTGCTTGCTCTGCTTTAGATGACAGCCTATCTTTGTGGACAGGCAAGAAAGTGCATTTATATTCTGGATGCTAAGATAATCCTTTTATCTGAATTGACATGTGCACCTATAATAATTATGAGTTGACTTTCAAGAGTTGTATTAATATATTTGTGCTAGCAATTGAAAATATTTTTGCTTGTGTCAGCCCATACATTCTTAAAGTGGTTACAGGCAATACAATCAGGATAGATCCAGATTATATGCCATGGTCCATCCCTCCATGGATTAGACCTGGTAACTGGAGTTTATACTTGAGGAACATCAGGTCTGTAGGGTAGACCAGTGTCATTGATCCAAGGTTGCTAAAATGAAAAGACAGAATGTTGTGTGAGCTGAAAGCAGAGACAGAACTAACTTCTTATAACCCAGAAGTAAGTCACTGAGAAGGGTTCAGTAAGAAATTGTTCCAAGTGTTGCAACCATATATTGAAGACTCATAGCTCTCATCATATTAATGCAAGCATTGGGGAAAATATCATTTTGTGGAAAACTGTAAACTTCTGTTTCACTATACTTTGCAGAAGAATAATTTTGCACTATTGATAGTGCCTAGGATAATAACATTCTTTTCTTTTGTGCTTTTCTGCTTGTGCGCTAGGATTTTCTTTGCCTAGAATCCTGAACTATGATCTATTTGTACCTTTTAGGTGAGATCCATTCATTCGTTGTGTTGCTTCTACTACAGATTGTTACAGGACAGACCATTTCTAAAATAAAAATAATATTTGAGAGACACGTTCCTATGTTGTTTTTCAATAACAAATCTAATTATATTTTCATTATTTTGCAACAGCAAGCATGCAAGCAAGTGAGACCGAATCAGTGAATACAGAAAATGTGGCTGGTGAAGGAGAGACCACATGCTGTGGAAATTTGTGGTGAGTATATGATGGAACTCTTGAAAGCTTTTAGCCCAACACTCACTGGAGAAATGGACTGGACCAAGTTTTCTGAAACAAAAGTTCACTTTTATTTGATTGTAAGTCTTAACATAGCCAATTACATTAATCATGACTGCTTTATTCATTGCAAATTGTAAGAAAGAGTTCTCTGAAAGAGATTTTAAAAAAAACAATATATTTTTAAATAGATCATCATCATATAGCAGACTGGAGCTTTTAAAGGCTAGCATTTGTATCCTACTGTATTTAATTTATATATAACAATTTGTAGGGTGTCCTAGCTCAGGGGTCCCCAACTTCCAGGCTATGTCCCACAACTGGGCTGCGACCCGCTCAGAATTGGGCCATGGAACCGGCAGCAAGTGCGCATGCATCCTCACTTGCATGAGCACATGCACTCCATTTGCGTGAGTGGAGGGCATATATGCCTGCCCCTCACACAGAACCATCCCCTCCCCCCCCCACTGGTCCGCAAAACTAGAAAGCTTGGGAAACACTATCCAAGCTGATAGAAATTGCACAGAAATATGAATATTATTATCATGAATTGGTACCTATTGGTTAGACCTACCCTAAATTTAGCCCAGTAATAAGCTCATAATAAATACATTACAATTCTGCAAGTATGATAGGTTGGCAAGTTTGTATGATTTAAATTTTGGAAGTTCATATTAAAATCACTATTCAAAATCCACATTCAGCTCTCTAATCCATTAGACAGTGTGTTAAATATTCTTCCCTGGCCTATAGTGTAGGCTTATTGTGAAGAAGCAATTTTTCAATTTTTTTTTTTTTTTGAAAGGGTGCCAGATTAGAATTATGATGTTATTTCTCTTCCAGTAGTTTAATTAAAATCTCTTTCTAGATTGTTGAGTAAGAGCTTCAATGAAAATGTGCATTCATTATTTCAAAAAAGGTATAACTGTAAAACATAATTATGATAGTGGTCTATTAAGAGCAGTTAAGAAAGGCCATTATTATACAATTTATGCTTGTTGAATATGTCCATATCTAACAATATTTAAATCCAATATTTAAATAATTCCAATTCAGGTTTAAAGTGAAATGAGATATGTACATTCTTGTTTTATATTTTCTTTAAAATGTGTTTTCCTTTTCTTTTAGTCAAATTATCTCAAAATCCAAGTTCAGGTCAGTATTCTTTCCCTCTCACTTTCCTGCTATATATCATAATTCTGTGCTGATTATCTATAAATATTATGGGTGAATATGACTGATTTTTAAGATTGTGTTAATAAATATAAAAGGACTACATACATCATCACATTTTACTCTTTCCATTGTGCTGTTATAATAACTATAGCATATGCTTCTTTCTTTTTAAAGAAAGACAGAACTACAAAATAACTATTCAGTGTAACCCTCTTTTCTGAAAAAAAAAATGAAGGAGAGTAATTAATTGTTTTCTTGCTCAGTGATTTTTTTACTCCAAATTAATTTCACATCACATGATTGACAATATGACTTTCTGAAGACATCTGTGCATTTGAAATTCCTCAGGGGAAAAAAAAGCCACAAAGAGAGGCAGCAGAGCCATTTGCAGAGAAATTGGCATGCAGGAAAAAGATTATACATCTTCAATTTCCCTGCTTGTTCTTGTCAGTGTTGTTTTTCATAAAAAGAAGAGCTCCAGCAGTTTATTGTTACATCAAATTACATTTAAGGTGTAGCTTGGATCAAAGCCATCATCCAACAGATAATGAGGATTTCCTTCAGGCAGAAAAATGCCATTGAGAGCAACTATCAAATGATGTTATACATGGGGCAGGGGTGTGTGAGTATCCAGAGGAGACAGGAACCTCAACTCCATGCCCTAATTGCATAAGTGATTAACAATATCCTCTTAAGATGCCAACATAAGCCTTAACTTGAAAGTGCTGTGCTGGTTATTTCATTGACAATGGCAACGGTGGAAGACGATTTATGTGTCTCCCACAAATGCTGCTGTTCTGTGTTTCTTTAAGTTTTAGGATGGCAGATGATTAATATCATGATGTGTATAATGCATCTGAAAGAGCAAGAAGTCTTGCTGATTAGCTTACTAAGCTGTATGCTGTTCATAAAAGCACTCTATATAAAAATAGACACTATCAAGAAATAATCACACTGTTTGAAGAAGGGAATTCTGCTTGTCTCTGGAATGCCTGATCCATAAAAATCTTTTTTTGTTGTTGTTTAGATATATTTGCTGAAGAATTTGATATGATGGCTGTAGAGGTTGGGTATTTTTGTTTGTTTTTAGTTGAGCCTCCTTTTTTTTTAATCTTACTATAACTTCAACCCTTGGCTGCTTAATGGATTATCTTAAGGATTGCTTAATTCTATTACTTTGCAAATAGTTGTTTATATCAAAATGTCCCATTGCTTATCCACAAAAGAACAGATAAAACAAGGGATCTGCAATAATGGAAACTAAACATTAACAAATTAATAAATAAAATAAATATATCCTCATTAATTTCATGGGCAGGGAATTTCCCCCCAAAATATTTTCTCTCTTAAACTGGCAATTCAAACAATCTGCTGGTTTATCTGCTGACAAAGAGAAAGAAAAAGGACTGAGAGATGGAAAGAAAACTTTGGTTTAACTAGAAGTATTAAAAGTTGAGTGGATTCTGACAGCTAAGGTTATGTAATGAGAAAAAAAGCAATGAAAATCCTGCAGAATGTATCTTCATATTGATATGACAAAAATTTATGTTGGAATATCATCCAATCAATCTTGGTGAAAAGCTGAAGATAAAACAATGGCATATTTTAAATGACATGTCCTTTATTGATTGGAAACTGCTGTTCCTGTCTTAATGCCTTATATCAGTGATGGCGAACCTTTTCAGCATCAAGTGCCAAAACTGGCACGCACGTGCATGTGCATGCACCAGAGTGCCAGAAACCCAAAGACGACCTGGCCAGAGTGCGCATGCCTGTTTTTGGGCCGTTTTGGGCCATTTTTCGGGCTGTTTTCAGGCTGTTTTTCAGGTTGTTTTCAGGGCCATTTTCAGACCGTTTTCAGACTGTTTTGGGGGCCGTTTTTCCACAACGGCCTGAAAAATGACCCGAAAAATGGCTGGAAAACAGCCTGAAAACAGCCAGAAAAAGGCCTGGAAAATGGCCAAAAATGGCCTGAAAAGCTGTTTGTTTTTTAGCCCCTTTTTTGGCCATTTTCAGGCTGTTTTCTGGTGCTCTGGCACCCGCAAAGACCAGCTGGCCGGTGTGTGCTGGAAACCAGAAGAGCAGCTAGAGATGGCGCACATGCCCACAGAGAGGACTCTGTGTGCCACTCTGGCACGCGTGCCATAGGTTCGCCATCACGGTCTTATATTATCTTTTTCTTTTCAATCCCTGGCTTGTAGTTTTTCTGCCATTGTTTCCAAATGTAATTTGGTAGTTGGTTTCAAAATCTTGATGAACATTCATTCTTCTTACCAAAAATACAAATCTCGTCTCTGTAGGCACTCACATGGAACCATCCCCTTTCTCCCCCCCCTTCCCCTGGTCCACAAAGCTAGAAAGTTTGGGAAACACTGTCCAAGCTGATACAAATTGCACAGAAATATGAATATTATTACCATGAATTGGTACCTATTGATTAGACTTACGCTAAATTCAGCCCGGTAATAAGCTCATAATAAGTACATTACAACTCTGCAAGTATGATAGGTTGGCAAGTTTGTATGATTTAAACTTTGGAAGTTCATGTTAAAATCACTATTCAAAATCCACGTTCAACTCTCTAATCCATTAGACAGTGTTGATAAAATACTCTTCCTTGGCCTAATACAAATCTCATCTCTGTATGCACTGATTGATAAAAAGTAGAAACCTAACATTCAGAATTCTGAATTGCATCACATTGCATTGCATTCAGAATTCTTGTGTTTTAGTGGGAATGGGTATATTTTTCAATATCCTTCATGAAAAGCTCTTGAAAGAAAACTTTGCTGGACATTTTCATTTCTCTTTTCAACCAGAAGACAATCTGCTGAATGTTTGACATACATGATTTAGCCTTTCACTCAACTTACATTCAAAACAATTTACATTGCTAAAATAATGTTTTATGAGGACATTTGTGTGTGGCAGTTGATAAATGGAATTAATTATACTGTATTTTATAAATATAAAATGAACATTGTATACTTCATTTCAAAGAGGCAGCTTGTCAGAAACAAGAGCCAAATATTATGATTTTCTTTAAAAATGCATTCAAGTATTATTTCATGTTTTATTGATGACTTCTTTCATTAGTAATTGTCTCCTTTTCTTTGAGCAAATATTTACAAGCACAATAAAATGTCAGTCATATTTACAATACTGTACATCTTGCTTTATTTCTTAACTTAATCTTTATTCACATTACAACTTGAAGAATGCTAAAAGAAGCACTAGTATTTTTCCAATACATACATACATGCATACATGCATACATGCATACATGCATACATTCATACAATATGTACTGACATAGATATAATTCATTTCTTAAAGCTTTCCAAAATTCTGCATTTATTACTCTGTCCAACTTAAACTTTAAAACTTGATCTTAAAATTCAAACTGTCAATATTACTTTAACTGGGCTTCAATTTGCTCTGATAGGAATTTTTATTTCTCTCCCTGGATATATTGATAACAGAAGTAGTTAAACTATGACTAAAGCTACACTGATAACATTTCACCTTCAGTTTGAGGCTGGTATTCAAAAGAGCCAACCAAGTGTCCTCATATTTTTGACCATAGCTCCTGTAAGCCCCAGCCAGTATGCTCAGTGGCCTGTGATTATGAGACTTGCAATCCTAAGTAACTGAAGAACACAAAGTTTTTTACCCCTGGCTTTAGTAACAAGATGTGATATTTTCTGGATGTAAGCAGCAGATCTCTTCATACATCCAATGCTCAGTCTGAAATTTGATCTGTTCCCTGCAGACTTTCAGCCTCTACTAATTTCCGAGAACTATGCTTAATTCAAAGTCCTTCATGATTTTGTTCATGGTCAGAGTACTTAATGTGCTTGACTTTTGCAAACGGTTGCTTTTATTCTCTTGATTTCACTCATGGCCTTACATAATGGGGGTGTTTTTGCTTTGTGACAAGAGATATTCCCACCCAATTTAAAGCAAATATTCTTCTAGAGAGAAAGAAATGCTCTATGTTTGGGTAAAGGGGACAGTAAATGGAGACATGTTTCATTTTATACGATGAAACTTGCGCAAAAAAGGTGGCCCAGCAATCTACAATTCCTTCCATGATTCTTCATTTGTTTTTCCTTTCACCCGATTGCTGAAGTTGCAGCTGCCCTTCAAGAGAGGATTAGGCCTCTTGCTTTCCAAATCAGTGATCTTGTGTAGGCCAGATCCACTTCAAAGAACCAGCAGGGGCTCTATGAATGCTGTTTGTTGCTGAATCTTGAAAGCCTGTTAGAGATTCTCTCTGCTCCATCTTCAAGTTAGAGTTTCTTTCTCATGCTTCCCTCTTTCTCAGAATTGAATAATCTTTTCTGAAAATCCCAATTCCTTCTCAATTCTTAAGGCCAGGCCTTCTTTCCTTTGCACCTGTCACAGCTGCTTTCTTTTTGAATCTAAGATTCCTAATATTCTATTCCTGCAGGTCCAATTCATCTCTTCTGCTTCCGGGTTCTTAGGGACGAGATCCATTCACAGATGTTTCTGTCACTGATATTCTGGTGTCTTGATTCGTATGAATGATTTAATCTGACTGTTTAGTAAACTACAGCTGAGCTAGGTCAACAGTCTTGTTTAGCTATCTTGAACCCTTATTTGTTTAACTTGGAATATGAATCGGTGTAGGAAATCCTTATCATGGAAAAACATGTTAAAAGCCCATATTCACTTTGTTGCCTTTCAGCAAAATGAATAGAATTTATTTATTTTATTTATTTATTTAATTAATTAATTTATATACCGCCCTACTCCTGAAGGACTCAGGGCGTTGAACAGCCAAACAGTAAAAATACATAGATACAAAATCTAAAAACAAAGTAAAATTGAATTAAACAAATTTGGCCCAAAAGTATTAAAACCCCAATCATTTAAAAAATCAATTAAAATTTGTGTAATTAAAAAGAGGGAAAAGATTAGGCCAGGCCCGCCTGGTGGAATAAAAAGGTCTTAAG